AATAAAAAAAAATTTTAAATTTCAAAAAAAATAAAAAATTCCGGGACTCGGGGAAAAAAAAATTAAAAAAAAGGGTAAAGTAAACCCCAAACTCATTTGCACTAAGGAGGGATTCCGAATGAAGGAAAGGGTATGAAAATAATAATAATAATAATAATGAAAGGATGTTAAAGGTAAGAAAATATTTGAAATTATATATATATATATATATACACACGCATAAACGAAAACGAGAAAAAAAATATTATTATTATTATTATTATTATTATTATTATTATTATTATTATTATTAATTTTTTTTTTCGGTTATAAATTCATTCGACCGAATCCGGTTAAGCTCGAATGAGTTTTTTTTTTTTTTTTTTTTTTTTTTTTTCATTTAATTTTTATCGGGAAAGCTTTCATTTTATTAAGTATTATTATTTTTTTTTTTTTTTAATTAGAAAGTTTTTTGATTAAAATTTAAAAAAAAAATTCATTCAAGATCGGGTTGAGTGAAAAAAAAAATATATATATATATTTTTTATGAATACTCTCACGTTAGGGACACGATGATGATGATGATGATAATTATTTTTTTCTTAAATAATAATAATAATAATACAATCGTTTTTTAAATGCAATTACGAAATCGGGGTCGTGTAAGGGTTTGTACACGACTAAAAAAAAGGCAAAATGCAAAAATTTAAATTGAAAGAATATGAAAACGGAAATGATTCCGATCATGGTGGCACCCCTGAAAACCGTTATTTAAGCACGCGAGTGAGGTATGAAATGAACCCTTAAGAACTCAGACAAGTACGTGAAACTTGTCGTGTTCAAGAGTAACAATAACAACAACAGCAATAATAATAATATTAAAATGAGTTTTTTTGTATCGCGTCTTAAACTTTATCCCGAAATTTTTTTCAAAATATTATTATTATTATTATTATCAAAAATTATAAGGCTCCAATGGGGCTACTTTAGACATTGTTACCAATTTAGAAAAAAACCGATCGCGAATGTTTTAAATAAATAGAATCGATCAAAAAAAAAAAAAATAATAATAAGAAATTCTCGGTGTTGTCTTTTTTTTTTTTTTTAAATCATCTCATTTTCACGTCACCCTCTTATCGTTCGTTCGTTCATTTCCGGTTGAATCTCTCGTCAATTATTTCCGATTAAAAAAAATTTTTTTTTTTTAGGCGTAACTTTTCAAAGGACAAATGACAAGAACCTTTTTTTTTCTCTCTCTCTCTCTCTCTTTTTATTCGAATATCAATTATTTTCTTGTCACATTTGACTCATATTCAATAATTATCATTATTATTATTATTATCATTTACAGGTTTAAAAATGTCCCTTATTTAAATCTTTTTTTTTTTTTCGTCTTTGTCGTTCCCCTTAAATTTTTTTTTTTTTCCTTTCCCTTTTCTTCTTTCTTTTTTCCTTTCTCTCTCTCTCTTTCACTCTCCTTTCTTTTTTTTCCCTACTTCATCCACTTTTAATTGAATCTGATCTGATAGACATTTTCGCTTATTTATTAAATCTGTCAAAATGTTCCTTTGAGTCATTGTTTTTATTTTAAATTTGAAAGACGTTTTTTCCTTTTTTTTTTCTTTCCTTTTTTTCCTTTTTTATTATTATTATTATTATTTTTTTCTTTCGTTAATTCTCTTTCAAAATTTAAATTTTTATTATTATTATTAATTTTCTTTTATTTATAAATTTATTTAACGAGAATGGGGAGGTAAAAAAAAAAAAAAAAAAAAAACGTTTTTTTTTTTTTTTTTTTTGAGGGAGGGGATTTAACAATGAAATCATACCCATATTTAACGCCTGAAATTGACAACGATTGCTTTTCCCCCTCTCTCTCTCTCTCTTTCTCTCTCCTACAATTTAACTTTTTTTTTTGCCCTTAATTTTGTTGTTGTTGTTGTCGTTTTTTTTTTTTTTTTAAACATCGAGAGTTATTATTTTTACCTTTTGATCGTTAATAAATTTTTTTTTTTATTATTTATATTTAAATTGATAGCCTTTTTTTTGTTCTTGACATATTTATTATTCATTTAACGGAGTTAAAAATTAATGAAATAAATTATTATTATTATGTTTATTTATTTTTTTAAAATAAATTAAAAGAAATTATTTACGAATGAATAATACCGTGGAAGAAAGGGAGGGAGTGAGAGAGAGGGGGGGAAACGTGTCACATACCAAAAAAAATTGGCATTAAAAAAAAAAAAAACGATCAATGATGAATTGAATTAAGTGTAACCCACTCTACTGTTTTTATATTTGTCGTAATTATCTATTTAAATATCAAGAATTTTTCGTTTCGTTCGTTTGTTCGTTTGTTTGTTTGTAAATATTTTTATGACAACTTTTTGCAAAAAAAAAATAAATAAATAAAATTAACGGACGTTACACGATTATTTAAAATTTGGCAAATAAAAATTATTAGAAAAATAAAATACAAAAAAAAATTGATTAAAATCACTATAAAAAAAAAATTGATGGAGGGATTTCGAAATTTTTTTGTTTTTTTGGCAAAAGTAAACAAAATTATTGTTAACAAAAAAAAAAAAAATATTTGATTTAAAATTAATATTATCGATCGAATCGTACAAAAAAAAAAAAATTTATTCTGATGCCACTTTGTCATACCTAATTTTCCATTTTTTTTTTTTTTACTAGGGGAAATTTTGAAAATAAATCATTATTATTATTTAATCATAACGCGAAAATCGAATAATTAAAATTATAAAATATTTAAATAAATAAATTTAGTTTTGAATGCCAAATAGTTAATTAATTTGTTATGTTGGCAACAACTTTTTTTCAAAAAAAAAAAAAAAAATGCTAAATAAATTTTTTTGTTATAACTAATCTTTCAACGAAAACAAAACGAAAAGAAAATATTAATTTTTTTTTTAATAAAAGAGAAAAAAAAAAAAAAATCAAATATGTAAAACGATGATGTTGAATATGCATCGCACAATAAAAAAAAACGAACGGTCCGAACGGAGCAGGTACCCCAGAAAAAGGAAAGAAAGGAGAAAAAAAAAGATATTAAAGTGGAGGAATGGACGTATGGATGGATGGATGAATGTGTGAGTTGAATAAAGATGAAAAGGGTAGTAAAGTATTATTTCGCGGGGGGTGGGTGGTCGTGGCGAATTAACCGGGTGGATGATAAGGGATATATCAAAGTCTAAAAATCAAATGCTGTCGGTGGTGCTCCTGCTGGGGGGCGAGGGGTTTTGCAACTACCGCGCGGTTAAAGGAGGTAAATTTTTCTGTATGGGCCTTATATATATATATTCTTTCATTTTTCTACCATTATTTCACGCCGCAGGGATTCTCATTTTATTATACACACACACACACACATTAAAAAATTATTTCTTTGGTTTTTATAAATTTAATATAATTTCCCATTTCGTTAGGAGAAAAAAGAAAAAAAAAACAAAAGGATTCAATTAATCTCAAATATTAAAAGGAGAGTAAAGTGAATCCATCGTATAGGAAACGTGCGTATAAAAAAAAAGGAAAGGAAATTCTCTCTCTCTCTCTCTTTCTCCCTCTCCTCTCTTTTACTAGAATCAAAAGGTTTTTTTTTTTTTTTACCGGAAACAACCCAAGATTTTCAATACGAAAAAAAAAAAATATTAAAAAAAAAAAATTAATTAATACGAAAATTTAAATTAATTTTTTTTCTTTTTTTCCTTTCGTCGATCGCGCCTAAAATTAAAAAAACCCTTTTGAGAAAAAAAAAAAGCGATTTATGTCCGTTCGTAAAAGTAAAAAAAAAAAAAAAAGGAAAAACTGATTAGGCAACACGTGTAGGTATTTAAATCAAAGTCCTTTTTTTTTTTTATTATTTTTTATTTTTTATTTTTATTTCCAAGTCAGAATATAGAGAAATAAAGAGAATTATAATATTGGGGATGAAAGGGTTGCCCAAAGGGTTGAAGAAGGCTTCCTTTTTATGAAACCCTTCCGAATGTCGCGATATAACACCATTGAAACCTTCGGCCACGTATATTTTTTTATGACTCGTTTTTATTTCGCTTATGTTTAACTTATTACAAAACCCTTTGTGCGATGTGGCAAATTTTTTTTTTTTTTTTATAAAAAAAAAATTATATCTAATTTATTTATGTACGGATCTTTTGTTTTTTTTATTGTGTAGAAATATTTTAGTTTTTTATCATTATTTTTGAATTTACGCAACTCGGCAGGAATAACCCTCTCTTCCTTACGACAACACAACAGCGACAAAAAAAAAAAAAAAAAAAAAAAACAAATAAATAATAAAAACAATTTTTTTTGTTGTGGTTGTTGTTGTGTACGTACGTACGGTTAACAACGTTTTTCTGGGCGGCGTTTGTTTTCCTTTTTTTTTTTCTTTTTTTTTTATTGATCCAATAAAAATAAATTTAATTTTTATTCATATATTGTAAAGAATAAAAATTAAAAAAAAAAAAAAAAACCGTTTGAATTCATTTATAAACGCGATAAAACCTTTTTTTTCAACTAATGACTTGTTTCGTATAAGAAAACAAAAGTTCCTTACCTTTTTTTTATTCCAGGTTTTTTTTCGTCACGGATTCGTTACCCTCGTTTCCTTTCCAATGTTTTTTTTTTTTTTATTCTTCGGTTGTTCCAAAGCTAAAACGATACAATTTAATAAAATTAAAAAAATATATATGTATATATTTTGTTCTAATATAACACGAATCGAACAATGATTGTTTTGTTTTTGTTTTTGTCAACTTATTACAATTGAATATAAATAATGATAAAACTTTTATTTAAATAGCGTTGTATTTTAAATATATATACTTATGTATACATAATTTTTAATAATAATAATAATAATAATAATAATTGTTATTAATATTAAATTATCAAATCTGAATGGGGTGAGGGGAAAGTAATAATCAAAAGAAAAATGGGGGAAAAAAATTTTTTAACAAATCTATAAGTTTGGTTGTGTCTTTATTGCAGTGAATATGTATTTGATTTTAAACACGCAAACCGTATCAAAACAGAAAATCAGTTTTGATTTTTTCCAGAAGGAAAAAAAAAAGAGAAAAAAAATTGATAACAAGAAGGTAGAAAATGACGAAAGGGGAGGTTTTCGCCAACTTTTACCTTCACAGACGGCTGCACATTCGAATTGATATTGATTTTTTTTTTTTTTAATTTTTTGTCGCAGCTGGAAAAGAAGGAAGTTTACCACCGTTCGGTCGCGAAGGAGAAGGGCAAAATTTGACTGATGAAAGAATAGCCCACATATTATCCGAAGCGTCGCATATGATGGTTAAAAATTCAATGAGTTCCCACCACGAAGATCAAAATAGCCACGAAGAAGATTCTAAATCTCCAATGAATTGTTCATCACCAATGTCGACAAAAGAAAACAGTTTGTCCAGAAGACTTAAAAAGTATGAAAACGACGACATTCCGCAGGAAAAAGTCGTTAGAATATATCAAGAAGAACTAGCAAAATTAATGGGAAGAGGACCGGGTATGTAAAAATTGTGATAAATTAATTGTTTTATATATTATTTGTAAGTTTAAATGATTGGTTTTTTTTAAAGGAGGACCTCATCCTTTTCCGAGTTTATTATTTCCACATTTTTTCGGAGGACCCCCAGGATCAATGGACAGATCTCAGGAAGACATGCGAATGGCTTTAGATGCATATCATAGAGAACTAGCTAAGCTCAATACCTGTCCAAGTCCGGGACTTCCAAGTTTGTTAGCTCTTCAACAGCAAGCAATGCACCAAACTACTCCATCACAACAACAAAACGGTGGAGCCCAAGATTTGTCGTTACCAAAAGAAAGAAAATCCGAAACTCCTGGTCCACCTAGCACTCCAGGTTGGCTATAAAACCATTTTTTCACGAGTTATTTTTTATAAATAGAAAATTATCATTAATTTGATTTTCTTTTTTTTCTTTCTCTCTCTCTATAAGGATCGACTTCCGATCGTCCCGGTACGGCTCAAAGCCACAAAATGGTAAATGGAGTAGTCGAACCGTCGGAAAATGCAGAAAAAGATAGAGATCGAGACTTGCTGAAAAAAGAAGGTAACATCATGGAATCTGCTGTTGCAGAAGCTATGCGACATGCGGGATCAGCGTTTTCCCTAGTTCGTCCTAAGACTGAATCGGGTACAAACGCACATTCCTACTTTTTAATATTCAAAAATTAAATTTTTTTTTTTGTACGTAAATTAATAAAAATGAATAAAATTTAAAATTTCAGAATGGCAACAACCTTCGACCGGATCGACGGCATCTTCACCATTATCCAATTCGATTCTTCCTCCTGTACTAAACCCAACTGAAGATCTCGTTACATCATCTGCTGCGAGTCCACTACAGCGAATGGCATCCATTACAAACAGTTTAATATCGCAACCCACTATTCCCTCACATCACGCAACTAATCAAAGACCTCTTAAAGCCGTTCTTCCTCCTATAACGCAACAGCAATTCGACATGTTTAATAATTTGAACACAGAAGAAATTGTGAAGAGAGTGAGTGAAAACAATTTAAAGAAATAAATACAAATATGCGAAAAAAAAATTTTTTTAAATAATAATAATCATGACTTTAATTTTAGGTAAAGGAACAACTTAGCCAATATTCAATTAGCCAAAGATTATTTGGCGAATCCGTTTTGGGTTTATCTCAAGGGTCGGTTTCTGACCTTTTGGCTAGACCTAAATCTTGGCACATGCTTACTCAGGTAAAAAAAAAATCCGTTTAAATTTAAACATTTGCTTTTTTTTAAAGAACAAATTATAATAAGGCCTTGATTTATCTTTACAGAAAGGAAGAGAACCGTTTATACGAATGAAAATGTTTTTAGAAGATGAAAATGCCGTTCACAAGTTAGTTGCATCACAGTACAAAATATCACCTGAGAAATTAATGCGCACCGGAGGATACGGAGGAGCAACGAGTAAGAATTATTTAATGCCTTATTTTTTACTTAAAAAAAATAAAAACGGGAAAAAGCATTATTTAACCGATTGATTTTGTAAATAGTAAATCCTTCTCCGATACCACCAAAGCATCCATTGCCACCGACTTCAAAACACGGTGATCAATTAAGCAATATGGCTGCTAACATATTGCAAGCTCAGCAACAGCATCAGTTGGAACAAAGAGATAGAGAGCAAAGAGAAAGAGAGCGAAAAAATATTGAACGTGAGAGAGAAATAATGAGAGAAACAATATTGCCACCATCGTTGAACATCATTCCTCCTTCGAGTAATAGCATGTTAGGATCACCTCCTTCTCTGGGTGGTCTCATGGTAGCCAATGATCTCAAAAAAGGACTCGCACCCGCCTCAATGCCACCGCAGCCGCATCAGTTGACTAATATGCGAGCTTTGCATCAACATATCTCACCTAGTGTTTATGAAATGGCAGCTTTGACGCAGGACTTAGACACTCAAATCATTACCACTAAAATTAAAGAAGCTTTACTGGCTAATAATATTGGTCAAAAGGTAATGGCACATATTTTGTAAATGCAATTCGAATAATTTGTCGTTTTTACTATAAATAACAAATTAAATGGTCAAATTTTTGTTTGTAGATATTTGGCGAAGCAGTTTTAGGTTTATCGCAGGGATCAGTTAGTGAATTGTTGTCTAAACCAAAACCTTGGCACATGTTAAGTATAAAAGGTCGAGAACCTTTTATTCGGATGCAGCTGTGGTTGTCCGATGCACATAACATCGACCGACTTCAAGCTCTTAAAAACGAAAGGAGGGAATTGAATAAAAGACGTAGAAGTTCCGGTCACGGAGGTGATAATTCAAGTGACACGAGTAGCAACGACACTTCTGAATTTTATCACTCGGCAAGTCCGGGACCTGGACCACCTTCGGCGAAAAAGCAAAGAGTTTTGTTCAACGACGAACAAAAAGAAGCTTTACGCTTAGCTTTTGCGTTAGATTCATATCCAAATGTAGCTACTATAGAATTTTTAGCTAACGAATTAGGTTTATCTCCTAGAACAATCACAAACTGGTTTCACAATCATCGCATGAGACTAAAACAACAAGTCCCTCTTCCGCAAGAAACGAATCCCAGTGTACAGCGAGACCCACAACAACCGTTCGATCCCGTGCAATTTAGGGTTCTCTTAAACCAAAGACTTTTAGAAGTACAAAAAGAAAGGCTTGGTCTTGGTAGTGTGCCACTTCCCTACCCGCCGTATTTTGCTAACAATAATTTAGCTACATTAATTAGTAGAGGACTGATATCGCCGGAGTGCGAAAATATATTAGCAAATGTGGCCAAGGAACAGTTTGGTGGATTAGATTTAAGCATGAGTGGATTAAAAAGGGAACCTTACGACGATGAAGACATGGGAAGTGAATTAGGTAGTGAAGATTCAAATTTATCATCGGCTAGCATGAGAGACGTGAAAAAAGAAGAGGGAGACGACGTGGAAGAAGAAAGAACCACAGCATCAACCGGTCAGAATAGAAGTTCGAGACGAAAACCGGCAGCGCCTCAATGGGTAAATCCAGAATGGCAAGAAGAAAAAAAAAATTTGGAAAACGAAGTTATCATTAACGGTGTTTGCGTAATGCAAACGGATGAATTTTCAAGAGAAAAAGAAGAGGAAACGGTTCGAGTCGAACCAACTGCCGTGATGGACAGGTACGAACATTCGGACGAAAGTTCAGACGAGCAAAACAACGAAAGAGAGGCTGAAACGAATACCGTGGAAAACGCAGAAAAAGATCAATAAATAAATATTAAAAAAAATTAAACAAATCAAAAATTTTGATTAAATCAGGGAAACAATTTTGGGAGTTTGTCGGCTGCGCTTTTAATTAAAAACAAACGTGTTTGCTTCAAGTTTTTTTTTTTTTTTTTCTATCATTATTTTCGTATAAATTTTCCCAAATTTCACCCTTTTTCCAAAATAAAAAAAAAGGTTTCTTTTAGGCATCCTTGTCTTCCATTTAACTTTTTTTCCAAAACATTTTTTTTTAAAATTTCTTTTTTCCTCCTCCATTATCTAAATCTACCAAAAAAAAATTTGTCTTCCTTTATCCAAAATCAAAAAAAAAAAAAAAAAACACATTTTGATTCGCGATAAAAAAAAAAAAAACTTGAAAGCAAACAATATAAACAATTAAAGATAATAATAATAATAATAATTAACAAAAACAAACAAACAAACAAACAAATTTTTTGAATATTATATATAAGTATTAAGTGAAAGCAATCGTTTTTGCATTTCGTCTTTCTCATATCCATAAAATTATATATATAAACAAAAAATTTTAAAAAGTCTTGCCAAAAAAAAAAAAAAACATATAAACCTTTTATTCATCTTTATTATCATTATTATTATTATTTTAAATTATTAAATATTTAAAAAAAATTGCAAAAGTGCAAAATAAATGAATTAATTAAATATTAATATTAATAATAATAAGAATAATTTAATAAGTAAAATATAAAAAAATTCATTTTTTCATTTTCATTCGTAATTTGTATAAAAAATAATAATAATAATAATAATGGAAAATTTGTAAAGATGCAAAAAAAAAAAAAAAAAACAAATTTTTTAAAAAATGTACAAAATATTATTTAAAACAAACAAACAAAACAAAAACAAAAAATTATGTTTAATTTATGTTGTAATGTTACAAAAACAAAACAAAATTATTTTATTAATATTTTTTTCTTTTGTTTATATGCGTTTAATGATCACGTGATCTCACGAGGTAGACAATATGCTCACGTGATATACCGGATGTTCGATCAGGTTTAATCATGTTTCGACGGTTTAATACAAAAAAAAAAAAAAAAGAAATATTTTTGAAATCGTTTTTAGCAAAGGCATTACTTTATTACTATTTCCGCCATTTTTCAATAAATTAATGAAAACGTCGACAAAACGCCCATTATTTTAACGAAATTTAAAACAACGATTTGATAATAATGATAATAATTATTTTTAACGTTAATTGTTTTTTTTTCTTCTTTCATTCTTTTTAATTTATTTTTGTTCATTTTGTTTGTTTTTTTTTTCCTCCCCAACCGTTTTTCAATTAAATGTTATTAATTATAATATTAATAATAATAAATAAACTTTGTAATAAAAGCTTTCTATCAGGAATATATATAAATATATATATATATATATATATTATTAGGTAATATTAAAAATCATATAATAATAATAATAATAATAATAATAATAATAAATTTTTAATTCCTCTTTTATTGTTAGTATTTAGTATTCTGGTATTTAGACGTTTAAATAAATAAATAATTAAATTAATAAAAAGAGGAAGAATAAATTAAATAATTTCTCTTGTTTTTTTTTGTTTGTAATTTTGTTTTTTTTTTTTTTTGTAACCGGAAGTGAAAATATGGATATGTGCAATCACGTTAAAAAAAAAAAAATAAGAAAATTGTGAAAAGAAAAAAAGGGAAAAAGAAAAACATTTTCCATTATATATATTTATAAAAATTTGTATAAACAAGTGAAAAAGAAAAAAAAAATTGCTGAGTTCTACTATTGAAATCATTTTTGATTTATTATTATTATTATTAATGTTTTATTTATTATGGAATTGAATTCTCTCCGTTATTATTTTTTTAATTTTTTTCTTTTTTTTGTTTAACAAAAAGGTCTATCATACAAAAAAAAAAAAAAAAAAAAAAATTGTTCACATTATATTATATATATATATATATATTATGTTATATATATAATATGTACATATAATGTTTTAGTAATATTATTTAATAAATAAATAAATAAACAAAAAAAAAAAAGGAAAAAAAAAGTATAGTTTTATGATAAAATATGATTTTTTTTTGTTTTTCATTAAAAGTTATTAGAATTTTGTTAGCTTAATAGTATTATTATTATTATTATTCATTTGAGCTTTAAGTTCAAACTTAATTTAAGTTTCTTTTTTTTTTTTTTTAAATTATTTTAAGTAAGAATTGTTTTAATTATTATTATTATTATTATTATTGGAAGAAAGAAAGAAAGAAAAGAAAAGGAAAGAAAACAAGTTGCAATTTGAGAACTCTAAGTAATTTTTTTTTTTTTTAATAATATTTTCTCATTATTGAGAAGAATTGTTCAATTCTTCTGCTGCTACCACTACTACTACTACTACTACTACTACTATTATTATCATTGATTAATTTTTGATGAAGAAAAAAAAAGAAAAAAATTTGTCGTTTGTAGTTAAGTCTTGTACAAGATAAAAACATTAATATGTAAATGATGAGCATTTCTTATTTATTATTATTATTATTATTATTATTCATTTATGTATTATATTTATGTTGTAGCCAAGAAAATATAAAATGAGAAATATATAAACAGAAATTAATGAATATTTTTCTTCATTTTTTTAAACAAAATTTTAATTTATATTGTAGTGATATATCATTGATTTCTGTTGGATTAATTAAAAATTTTTACTTAAAATATATATTTATATATATATATAATAATAATTGAGCTGTTTAGTAAAAGCTATTTGTCTTGCTCATTACAAAAAATTTGAATTAGGAAAATTAAAAGAAAAAAAGAAGGAGAAACCATTTTTTTTTCTTTTCTTAATTTCTTATACATATATATATATAAATATCTTATAAAATAATGAAAAGGAAACGATTGAAAAGTGTAACGGGCATTAGTTTAATTTAAATTTTCACATATTAATAATTATAAATTGAAAATAAATGAAAATTTTATGTGATATTAATTAATATTAATATTAGTTTGCAATTAGCTTTGTTGATAATTTTTTTTATTCGTTTAATTTTTTGTCATTTTTTTTAAATAACAAATATTAAATATATATATATTATATATAGTATTACTCGAAATAATGTTTTCAACAACCTTACCTTTAAATTTCTTTTAAAAAAGTATTAAAAACCACTTAAAAAAAAAAAAAGAAACACAGAATAAAATAGACACTACACTTCACTACACTTCTAGAACGTTCGAAATTCTTAAACATTTTAAAAAACCGTTTGTTTGACAAAAAAAAAATTTACAAACTTTGTTTCAAAAGATTTTTTATTCTATGTGTACGCGGTAAGTTATTTATAAAATGTCTCTGGGTGTAAACAAAAACAGGTTAACGCATACGATTTTTTATTTACATTTTAATTTAATATGTTCTATTGTTTTAGTTTTGCTAAACCGATGGATTTATGTAAATATCGGTTTTCCAAATTTGACTTTGACGTTATTGCATTTTATTACCACGTTTATTGGACTAAATATTTGTGAACGTTTTAATTTGTTTCAAGTGAAAACAGTTCCTCTGAAAGATATTTGTTTATTATCTGTTACCTTTTGCGGTTTTGTTATTTTTACAAATTTATCACTACAATTTAACACAGTGGGTACTTATCAATTAGCCAAAGTCGTCACGACACCCGTCGTTGTTTTTCTCCAAAAGATTTTTTATAAAAAAGATATAAGTTTTAAAATAAAATGCACGTTAATTCCCATAATTGTCGGAGTTGTGATGAACTTTTATTATGATATTAAATTCAATTATATCGGAACGTTATGTGCTACGTTAGGAGTGTTAATTACTTCTTCATATCAAATTGTATGTTTATTTTTTTTTGTATTTAGTTCATTGTATATTTTTTTTTTGTAATTGATGATTTTTCATTTTAGTTAGTTAGTTCAAAACAACATGAATTGCAAATGAATCCAATGCAGTTACTGTACTATCAAACCCCAGTTTCATCACTCATGTTACTACCAATTGTAATTTATTTCGAACCTCTTACTGATACAATTTTTAGAACTTTTAATAGTTTAGAAGTAATCATAGTCTGCATGTCTTGCATTGTGGCACTTTTTGTAAATATATCAATTTATTGGATAATCGGTAAAACTAGTCCATTGACTTACAATATATTTGGACATTTAAAATTTTGCTTAACTGCGCTTGGAGGATTTTTGATTTTTAATGAACCAATGTCATTCATGCAATGCGTCGGAGTCATATTAACACTTTCTGGAGTTACATTTTATGCTCATTTCAAGGTTTGATTCTGCAAAAAAATAAAATAAAATAAATATAGTTATTTATTTTAATATTTGTTTCATGTTTTACAGTTTAAAGAGAATGTACATAATCAAAAATCATCATTAGAAGAAGGATGAAAATTAATTTTTTTTCGTACCGATTTTTAAGAATGTTTCCCAAAGTAAAAACTATTTTTTTAAATTGTGATTCCAACCAAGAAAAAAAAAAAAGGGGTATTATTCAAAAATAAAATAAATTTTAATATTACAAATGGAATTGAAATTTTTAATTAATTTATTTTTATTAAATTAAGGATTACAAAATAAATTTAAAAAATATAAGATGTGTGATAATAAAATATTTTTAAAGACTTTACGTAATCGTTTTTTTTTTTTTATATTCATCATATAAATTAACCATTTAATCACTAACACATTTTTTTTAATCTGGAAAAAAATAAAAAGCAAATAATAAAAGTTACATGGAATATTTTTAACAAAAAATATAATGCAAGATATTCTCACATAAAGTAGAAACAGTTGTTGTCACCTTAATAAGTAACGGTTTTATTATACGTTACACATAATTGTTTATTAAATAAAATTTTGAAAAAAAAAAAAAAAAATTAAAATTAACTGGCTCCATTTAGTATTATATAATTTAATAAAAAATTTAAGTTTTTTTTTTTTTTTTTTTTCAATTACTTGCATTTCATCGATATAAATAATTTTTTTTTTTACACAACACGCCTCACTTCGAAATATCTTTTTAAATAGTAAACTTGACCCAATGTCATTGTAACAAGGACTACGGCTTCGAAAAATGACCATAATACTACTCTGAAATTTGTTGATTCATTAATATCTCTGTGAATTCTATCTCTCACATGCATGTATTCTTGTTGATGTTTAACACTTGTAAGTCTTGCAGAAAGTGTTTTAATCATTTCATCCAATTTATTATGATGGGCTTCAAAAAAAAAAAAAAAAAAATTTTATTTTAACTTAATTATGAAAATTGAGTCATTGCATAAGGAAATTACTATTGTAAAAGTAATTTTTTCATATAAAAATGTTTTAATTGAATAAATAGGGTAACTTTTGATTGAAATGCAATTTAAAGAATCAGCATAAAAATTATTGTATTAAATTTAATTTATAAAATTGTTTTTATTATTACCTTCAGACTGCTCGGTGCTTGACGGCTCTTCTATTTCCATGTTAAACATAACAATTTTTGGAGTCATTGTAGACATTTTATTGCTGAAACAATAGGTATAAATACCTTCCTTGTTTGCAGCAAATGTGTATTTTCCAGTACTTTCTCTTTCCCCTTGATAAATTATTGTTCCATCAGGTCCAATAATTTTAACATCAATGTCTAAAAATCCACCTTCGGCTATTTCAAAAGTTAGACCTAAATTAAGTAGAAAGTATGGCATAAGGAAATAATTAACAAATTTTAAAAAACCAATCAAAAGATATGTAATTGTAACAATAAACGTAGAGTGATTATAATATATTAATAATAATATTATAACCTCAAAAAGAATTATTAGAACGCTTTAATATAAAATTAACTACCGACCCATTTTTGTGCCGGCTGGAACTTTATCAAAAAAACATTCCTCAGCATGGGCGTCTACCGTTATGAAATATCCCAAACTTGTTTTTACACATGATAAAATAAATAATAAGAAATATATAGACATTTTTTACTTCATTTATTCATTCACTTCCACGTAACTTCTACCGTTGCTTCAAATTATATATATATTTATTTTGAAACAACTTTGCTTCTAAATATTTTGCTATCCGTCAAAGGTACCGAAGATTTTTAGAAATAAAATGGCCGCCAAATCGGGTATTTTGAATGAATTATTTACTAATGTTTTACGCGTGAGTTTTACCGGTAAGCTATTGATAATTTGCTGAAAAAAAAAAAAAAAAAACAATTTTTTTCTTTAAAAGTCACATTAATAAAATGTTATCTTATAGTTAGTAGTCGTAACTACAATCGTAATGTCCGTCACGTAGCCGCTTCTCTCAAAAAACGAAAAGATTTATATTTGAGGCAATTGACGGTACAAGAAAAAAATGAATTAAATAGAAGATCTAATTATTTGGAATGGAACTACAGTGCAGAGGTATTTGCTTTTGGAAAACGATTGAAAGAAAATTTTACACCGGAACTTTTAGTTCGAGCATTTACACACAGGTACCAAACCGATTTCGTTTAAAACTTTTCTTAATGTATTTTTTTGTGAAGTACATTCATTTCATTTACTTTTATATAATTTTTTTTTTTTTTGAGGTCTTATGTGAGTGAACAAGAAACAAAATTACAAGAAGTTGGAGTTAGTAATGTAGATATTTCGATGAAATCAAATGAAGAACTTGTTTCAAAGGGGGAAAAAATAATATCTGACTTTGTTCCCAAATTTGTATCATATTTTTATCCCAGATTTCCAATGGAGGGAATTCAAAGCATACATGATTACTTGTTGAGTAATGACGTTTTAGGACATGTTTCAAAAAATCTCGGTACAACAGATTTAATATTATCTGCTGAATATCCTGTCGAAACGGAAACTTATTCTACGACTCTTAAAGCCATAATTGGAGCATTGTATGAGTGTTCAGGTTTAAATAGAGCAAATTTATTTGTTAGAGATTTTATAATTACACAACTTGAAGGAAAAGATATTCATGAATTTTTACAAATAAAAGATCCATTAAAAATTGTTAATGAAATATTAAACAGAGACAATAGAGAACCCTGCGAACCTAGAATTATATGTAAGTCAGGTGTCAACACAATATTGGCTAATTATCATGTTGGATTATATTCAAACAAAGAACTAGTCGGTCATTGTGAGTATTAAATACCATTAAAAATAATTTTTTCAAGGCAACACATTAAAAAAAATTTATGTTCAACTGACAGGTTCTGGTGAAACAATTGACACAGCCATTGAAATGGCTGCATCAGATGCACTAAGAAGATTTTTCCATACGACACTATCACAAACTCCGATTTCGTACAAATTAGACAAAGTTCCAGAAACTGTCAATAATTTAAGTCTTGATGAATGGCATTTGGGAGCTTTTGAAAATTCACAAACAATAAATAATATATCAAAAGTTTCAGAAATTAATTAAAAAAAAATATTAAATAAGTTATTAGATTTAAAATTTTAAAAAAATTTTTTTACATAAATTATTTTAACTTGATTACTAACATACTCTCGAGTTTTTTTATTTTTGTAGGTCACAATTACACTTAATCGGATAAAATTAGGAATAAAAAAAAATAATAATAATAATAATAATTTCAAATTAACAAGATAAATTACTTTTATATATTTGTCTATAGAAAGTCATTAATAAAGCTGTAAAATTTTTAACTCTGCCACTGTATAATATTGATTCCATGGAGAGAGAGAGAGAGAGAGAAAAAAAACTGTAAAAATTGTTTTTTTTTTCTCTCTTTTAAATAAGGTTAAATTCTCCATAACGAATCATATTTACCTTGGAATTCTTTTCTTACATTAAGAAAAAAAAAAAAATAATAATAATAATAATAATAAAATGCAAGAATTTTTTTTAAATTTTATTGCAGGTTGCACATTTTTTTTAAATCTGATTCGACGTCTTCATCGATATTTTCCGTATCTGGAATTTTACCCGCAACGCTAGGCATGTAATTTTCGTGACTAAGCCCTTTAAAATAAAAATTTTTTTTTTTTTTTTTTGGATTCCTTAACAAAAGTCGGGTTTTTTTGGGGGATGGGGTGGGGTGGGGGGGGGGGGGAAGGCGAAGTATATAAATCCTTACCTTGCCTCTCGTAAAAAAGCATGTAAGCCGATGAAAGATCCATTTGAGATTGATTTACTTGTTTGCAGCTTGAATCGTTGTAACAATACCAAATTCCCCGTGGATTGCACGCGTAACTTACATAATGTCCTCCTCCCAGCATTCCCGAATGGCACTGAAATGACATTTTGAAGTTTTTGTTTATTTCCATCCTTTTAAAAAAAAAAAAAAAAAAAAAAGGAAAAGGAAACAAAAGGGAAAAAGTGAAACTCACGACAACGGAATATAAATTGTACTTGAGATCGAATGGATCAGCTCCGTGGTTCAAACGGTGCTGATGAAAATCCTGTAGGGATGAATCTTCCACCGGAGTCGTTATCAAACTAGTCGATTCTAATCTATCCCTTTTTGTTATCTTTGGTATATTATTTAGCACCGAATCCGAATGATCGTAATTACAATTATCGTCCGTTTTGATGACGTCGACGGTATTGCATTTGTAATTTTCAATATTCGTTTTTCGATTGTTGAGCTTATCCGTGATTTCCCAATGCCGAAGAACCGTTTCTTTGGGTACCGAAGCCAAATACATGGTGGGATCGAAACCCTTCACGGGAAACTCGACTACTTTTTGTGACTTTATCCATTTCTCGTTTACGTATTGAAATCTCTTCAAGTGTACAATCTATTAAAAAAGAAAAACAAACAATAACCGGGAATAAAATCTTCAGCTTTATATAGATTTGGTAGTTGTCACTCACGAGGATGGGTGGTAGTCTCCATATTTGAAGTTTTTTCGTCGCGATTTCGTGAGATTTACATTTCGAACAATAAACTTTTTCATCCTCGGACAAAGTTTCCTCTCTCGTGAAAGCTTCCAGACAATGATTTAAACTAATCGGCTCCGACATTTGGTGTCGCGTTCTCGCGACGCTTTCATGCTCTATGACAATCTACAAGAGACCAAAAAAATTTTTTTTTTTTTTTTTTTTTTTGTTGAAATTTTCACTTTCGAATTCGATTCGATTGAAGAATAATGAATGATAAACTTTCCTTACTTTTTCTAAACACGTTTGATATCTTAAATGAAGAGCTGTCGGATCCCAGTCTATAGCTAAATAAGAAGTATTATGCAAGAATTCAGATAAAGAACACTGTATTCGACACCCTCTACAAAAACGATACCAAGGACATATCGAACATACCAGTCCGTCGGGTGAAACGGCTTTTAACGTGAATGGAAATTCGTAACCTAAACTGTCGTCACTTCAAACAATGGAGGAAAATATTAAAAAAAGTTTGTCGAGTCACGTCCGCGAATGTCGAAAATGTTTCGAGAAAAATTATTTTTTACCAATCAGTTGCGTGATTAACAGTTTCTCCGGGTGGTAAGGGAGACACGAGTCGTGCAACCTGAGTCCAAACCGACTGATATAAATCCTGATGAGTAACTGATTCACCGCATGGCACAATAACAGGCAAACCGAAAAGACTAGGTTTCGTTTTTGACGATGATAAAAAATACGTTTCTTGTCGCATCTAAAATGCAGAAGAAAAAAAAAAAAAAAAAAGACATCAATCGTTACAATTCGTAAACAAGGTAAGTAAAAACGAAAAAAAATTTTCAGGCGGAAGAGTAAAAAAATTTTATGTTCAATCGTTTTTCACCATTTTCCTATGTACAGCAACGATAAAGCCAACCGTGGTCGTGTCACTCAGATTGGCCAAACTTCCACTCGAAGAACTATGAGCGCTATTATGCGGAACGCAACCTTCGACGAGACCGAATTGATGATGATGAGGTTCTAAACTACCCATCGACGAAGACACGGATGATAGCAAACTCGTGTTTTGAGGACTACCATATGACTAAAATTAAAAATAACAAAAAAGAGATTTCTTGTGATGTACGAATGAAAATGCGCTGCGATTATATTTTAAAGCGTCTATCAAACATAGAATAAATAAATATTCGAAGGCTACGCAACAACCATCGAAGAACCAACTTTTTTTGTCATCTGTCTGATTGTGTTTGCTACGTAAGGTAGTAATGGATTTCAAGAGAGATTTTCTCTCTCTCTCTCTCTCTCTCTATGAATAATCATCATGCGATATTTACCTCTTAAATAATTGAAGACTTCACAAAACGAGCACAACAATCAAAAGACAAACTAAAAGTTTTTACCTTTTTGAAACAAAAGAAAGCAGGCATGCAGTGAAGTAGTCTTACCTCGGAGGAATCAACTTCACTGCTAGCATCCCCGGCGTTATTTACATTTTTCCCCCACGGATTGACAACTGAATTTTCTAATTCGACGATGGAAAATGGATGAAATTTAAAAAAAAAAAAAAATAGGGAGTAATCATTATTAGTCAATCATTAAAAATATTAAAGTGTGATAATAAATAAAAAAAAGTAAAAACAAACCTAAGTTAATATTACTCGAGTTCATGGGGTTAATTGCTCTTTGTATGGCCGTAAATGCAGATCCTTCTCTCTCTTTTTCGTTCGTCAATTTAACCGATGATAATGATAGTTTTTCGTCATCCATGTTGTTCATGTTAAATGAATGAGGTAATTCGTAAGCGTAAAGAAACCCTCCTTGAGTTCCCTTGAATCTTTGATCATCTAAATATACATGCTGTCAAGTAAAAGAAAAAAAAAAAACGTTACGCATTTCAAAGAGAGAGAGAGAGACCAAAGAAGATAAATACGATTTTTAACCTTGATGAGAGCGTTTTGAACTTCGGCTAATTTAATCAAATGAGAAGGAATTCCGCATAAATTTGAAAGTTCCGTTTTTAATGCCCCATATTTTTCGTCGTTGTTTATGCGTACTCCATATTTAACAGGAACGGATCCGTCCAATTTGATAACTGACAGAAAAGAAAAATTATTTTAATAATTACCATTAAGTTTATTATTTATTAAGAATGTCAAAGGTGACTTGTGACTTATTTACCCGTGACCGAAAAATGCAGGTAACTTTCCATTGGTAAAGGTAATGATAAATAATTAAATGGATCGAATCGAACGCTTTCGTGTGAACACATATTGCAAGTAACCTTTGATTTCAACTGTCCGTGAAATAAATCAACAATTATTGATTTGTTTCGTAATATGTGATTTTCCCAGGCCTGGAAAAAGTACAAAATATACAAACATTGGTAAACCAATCAATATACATATTTACTTCCTTTCTTCTTTTTTCTCCTTTAGTAAGAGCATTCACCTCTTGTGCGACTATCACATCCGGTCTCCCGTCACTGTCTTTCAATTCGACGTAGGGCTTATCATGAACTCTGTTTAAATCTTCATGTAAACCGTCCAGAAGGAATGCTAAGAGTTCTTGGGAATCATGTTGTTGGAATCCGTTGAATCTGGGCGCGTATTTACCGATTGTCCACTATCAAAACAAATGTTATGTGTTCATTTTATCTTATGTATTGCGTTTAAAATGATTTAGAAATCTCACCCTTAATTTAAGAGGAGCTATCGTTCTGTTGCTACCACTCCAAATGTTATCAATGAGATCTGCATAACGCAAAGCAATGTGGCCTTTCATTCCAAGAGGATTATTTCTGTTTAATTCGTATAAATGCATTTTTGATGTGAAATATTGTGTGAGTACCTGAGTGTTGCTCACGCACTGCAACGCGGCATTCATGAAACAAGTATTTCCTAAATTGTTCAAACCGGTGGCTCCCTTTTCCAGAGCAGCTTCGGTTTATAAAATGTAAAAAAAAAAAAAATTGGTTTTTGATGATTTCCTTTTTTTTTCGAAACGTATGAATAGCGTAAAAATAAAAAATATACACAATTCACCTTGTCTCTTATCGTTTGACGTGTTAGAGGCAATCGAACTGAGTTCCTCCGGCCAAGTAAGATCTTTATTTCTTATTTCAATTAATATTTGATCTTCATCTAAAATACCGAGTTCATCTAATGTCGAATCTTCTTCTTCTAAAATGAACATGTTGCTCTAATAATAAAGAAATAAAATATTACTTAACACAAAAAAAAAAAAAAACACGAGCGGAGTGACACTGATAATGATAATAATAATTTTCTTTTAATTAATACCTCATCTCTGTAAAGCCACAATCTCATGTCTTCGAATCTTATCCTTAACTTATTACACAGATACTGATAGACTTGTTTAAGCGTTGCCATTTTGCTAAAGGCACCAACATATGCTAAATACCTCCGAGAAGTCGCTGTTAAATTTGTGACATAAGCGTATCCTGCATTTCCTTAACAAAATAAATGTTAACAAAAAAAAAAAAAAAATAATGATAATAATAATTATAAGTAATGCGATCGAACGTGTATCATTTTCTTATACGTTACCTATGGCGGATGCTCCATATCCTCCGACCATTCCACTCCAATTATTTATTTGTTGCCTGTTATTTTGCGTGGCATGTTTCAAAAACCTTATATTTATCGGATAAAGCTCTAAATCAGGTTGTGCACTATTGGTGGGCATTATAACCTAAATGAAAAAATAATAATGATAATTAATTTTTTGTTAAATTTATTTTTTAAAAAATATCCTCGTTGAATTTTTCATTTTTTACCTGCCGAGGTAAACTGGGTTCTCCACCGTACCAAAGTGTTAAAGCCGTCCATAAACTTTGTGAAACCAACTGAAAATCTCCATTGTTTTGATTCAAACATAAATTTTTCCTTAATTTACCTCCTTCACCCGTCAAAGATGGCACCTTGTAAGCCGGCGATTGTATTAAGTTAGAATTATTGATGGGTCCGGGCCTGGGAAATTTTATATTGACAATTTGCTTCTGTTCTAATTTAGGACTATGATTAGGACTAAAATCAACAAAAAAATTATTATTATTACCACTAGTTGTAAAGGAAGAGGTATGCAAAGCAAACATGGTTTCTCCTTACCCTAACCCAGCACTGGTATTAATTTTAATTGAAGAATTCATATTTTTGGGATAGCCGTTTATTTCACAATTAATATCAGGAGGTCCTGGTCCCCCTTCATGTTGTATATACATTTGCCATTGTTTCCACCAAGTCATATCTATTAAATACCAAAATTGACCTACTTCTAATCCTCTCTTTTCCTGTTCTCTTTTTAACCACTGCATAACAATTTCACCTTCTTCAACAGGATTAGAAGGCCTGAGAGCAAATATAACGTGACACATCTAAAAATTTTAAAAAAATTTTTAATACACACAGACATGAATTTCAAATTAAAATTATACTTTTTGTAAATTTACCTGAAATAATAAATCTGTGAATGCTTTAGAAGCTTCACTTTTTAATGCCCAAATGGGATATTCTTCCTGTGCCATACCTAATTTTGAATCATTTACGGAATTCAATATATCATTGAGTAAATACTTTTTCATTTCGTTTGTTATTTCTTTTTCTTTTAAACTAAGAAATATATCCACCATGTGTTCCATTTCTTTAGAATTTAAATACCCGTCTCTGTCTACATCGAAAACCTTAAAGCAAACTTTAAAAACAAAATATTTATGTTAAATTTAAAACATTTGAAATTTCCTAAATTTATTTCCACCACTTTTTAGTGTAAGACTCGACTTAACTCAGAATCGATACCTCATTTAAAAACATAAATGCTAAAAAACATATTAAGACTCGATATTGAATTGTTTTTTTTTGGTATACTTTATACATAATAATAAAACAATAAAGTTATAATATTGGAAGAATTTAACAAAAGTAATTTACATTACTGTACTAAATAATTTGCAATGTTCTTTTTTTATCATTTACATAATTACAATTTCTAAAAGCAAACTTAATTCTTTTTCTTAACGCAACTACATTTAATAAAATCAACAAAGAAAATTTATAAATATTTTACGATTTATATCATGAGAGTCTTACACTTAATAAGCGAAGAAAAATATTTCAAAAATACATATATTTCATGAAAATATTAAAAAATTTCATTTTTTTTTTTTTTTTTTTTACAAAAATTATTAAAATAATATCTACATTTAAGCCTTTCTGCTACTGGGCCCCTACAAGCTGCAGATACTCCACAGGCCATTTCTTTAAAATCTATGTGTGTGTCTTGATTTTCATCGAATGCATTAAACAATCCATTGCACACTGACACTGGCAAAGTAGGCACTAACAATGATGTGATGGTTTCCAAATCTAATTTACCATTTCTAGATGAATTTTTTAAAGACCAGTACCTTTTTTCTAATTCTATCATTTCATACTCTTCCACTAAAAAAGAAAAAAAACATTTAATAATGTTTTCTACATAATAACTTTAGATAATCTTATTTTTACTTATTATTAATTTTTTCGGTTTATTTTAAAAAATACTTACAATGTGTAACACCACATAAAGTTTGATAAAATGTAGGCGTTTCTAAATCATTACTTAAAGAAATATTAAATGGTTCGACTAACAACCATTTACTCAAACAAAATGCATCAGGATGTGCCACTAGCCATTCTCTGAAGTTTTCAAAACTAACAGAATCTTTCTGCAAATTAACAAAAACAAAAAACAAAAACATTTCAACATTACAGAAAAAAAAAAAAAAGAGATTATAAACAAAACAATCTTACCTCATTAAAAAGATTTGATATCTGATCAGATAAAAATCCATTTTCACTGCCTTGAATAATTTTTAAAAAATTCTCCTTGACAATAGCCCTGCCATTGTCACATGCATATAATCCAAACAAAACTAAATAAAGAAAACAATGAATTTAAAAAATAAAACATTAACTATAATTAATATAATTTTTTTTTAATAAAAAATAAAAATTTTTAAATAATACATAATTGTCATTATTAAATATTTATTTTTCTAATCGATAAGTAAATAAATTGAAAAAAAATTAACTTACATTTAATTTTTTCTTCTTGAGTACCTCTAGTAAGTAAAATTAGTCCACAAATTAAATCTTTGAATGATATTCCCTTTGATGTACCTCCCCATGAACTGTACAATACCTAATAATATTAAATGTAATGTGAAAAAAAAAAAAAAAACAAATAATTACTAATTGTACTGCCATTTAATAAAACCATTAAAAATTAACAATCACATTTTCAATTGATAAAATACCAAGATAATTAAAAATTTCAATGACAGTATTAATAAACAAGTATAATGATATAAAAAAAAAATATATGTATACATAAGAAAAATCATTGGGACAAAAAAAAAAATTTATTCAATTAATATCATGGCATTAAAATGGACAACATGAATATTAAACAGCCTAGTAATAAAAAAAACAATAATAATTTTGCTTGTTATTCGGTAATTAACATAAACCCACGTTCAATGTTTTTGTTTGAAATTAAAAAAAAAAAAAAAAAAAAAATAGATTACCTCAGCAATAGGAGTTGGAATTTCATCACCTAAAACTTCTTTTAAAAATCCAGATTTAGATACGTATCCATTACCCGCAGAGGCTTTTTTAAATGCTTCCCTTAATCTTTTTAATTCAGAATCACTGACTGTTGTTGTAATGATAAAAAAATTACAAAATGAAATTAATAATAATAATAATAATAATACTAAGTGAAAATAACACTGGTGAATCAATTAACAATCAATTATTATTTATACATTTAATTAATTACCCCTTTTAATGGCATCTTCATAAGATAAACACGTTTGTTTTGAATCTTTTACTCCTATTTTTAACCAAGAAAACATTTTTTATAAAACTTTTGACGGCTAACAAAAACATATTACATAATAATTAAGCGAATTCTTGAGCGACATATTTGTTTTATGTAAATTCGCCATTTCAGTTAATTTTGACAATTACTTTTAGAAACAATTCGATGTTTTGAAACAATAAGTTTAATAATCGCTATTTTTCTTCCAAACAAAATTAATATCAAATATTTTTTTTTTAACGTTTTTTTCTTTTTTTTTTTGTGAAATGTAATTTTACAATTATTAAGGTATGTGTAAAAGGAAATATTAAACAATAAATAAATTCGTGTATCTTTAAATTTATGCGTGGTAAATTCCAAAAAAAAAAAAAAAGAAAATATATATATATATTTATTAAAAATAATTGTAACTTTATTTGATCAATTGTCTGACTAATTTTACTGAATAATTAAAAAATAAAGCTTACAATTCTTCGAAAAATGCTACGCGAGCTTTTGTAGACCCGGACTTTACCTAAAAAAAGAAAAAAAAAAGACAAAATAAGTGAAATATTTAGTATTACTACTACTACTACTACTACTACTAATATTTAAAATGGATGTTTAGGTTAACATTCAAAAATAAAACTTACGATAATGTGTGTGCCACAGTTAGCATCAAAATTAATCGAGGTAATTACTTACAATAAAGTTATTTAAACAATTTTTTTCTGATACAATAATAATAATAAAAAAGTTAAATTAATAAAAACATTTTGAATTTAAATAAATCTCACCTTTCTAAGGGTAGAGTATTTATTTTCCCCTAATCTAACTTGTTCATCGTGTAAATTGTCTAGCTCTGTCGTTTTTTCTCCAACTTTTAATTCTTCTATTTCACTTCTTAAATCTCTCAATTGTTCTTGAACTTGTTTACTTTTCTCTAAATATTCCACTCTGGAAAGAACAACAGGGAAATATATACACTGATGCAACCCGAAAAAAAAAAAAAATAATAATAATAATAATAAAATTACCTTTCTTTTTCTATTTCTAACGATAATTGTTGAACATCATGATGACAAAGTGCGTCATATTGTGACAAATCTTGAGGTACGTTACGGCGTAATGGATCTATATCATCGTGACCATCAACGCAAACAACGGTACTATTGGTAAACATACTAGATACAGTCTGATATACGAAAAAAAAAAAAAAAAATTATTTAAGAAAAAAAAAACAAACGCGATAAATATAGATATCTTTAAAAAGAAATTTCCTTACTGAATTTGTTAAATTATGAAAAGCGTTAATTGATAAAAATTCCAAAAGTTTTTCTTTAGCTTGTTTTTCGGCAAGACGAGCTCTGAGCAAATGATCTTTAAGTCTCTCAGCTTCAGCAGCTCTTCTCTCTGATTCTTCGACTAATCTTGCCGTTAAAAATTCAGCTTCCCTAGTTTTTCTTTCTAAAAGTACTTTTTCCTCCTCAGTCTGAGAATAAGAAAAAAAAAATATATATCATCATATCCTTATATCCTTTTATAAAAAAAAAAAAAAAAAATTACCTTCATGGCACTTAAACGTATTCTTGTTATTTCTTGTTCAGCCTCTGATGCCTTTTGACTAAGCAAGATAGCCTCTTCTTCTGCAACTTTTGATTTTTCAGCCAACAACTCTGCTGTTTCCTCAGATCGTCGCTTTTTACGATAAAAAAAAAAAATAAATTTTAATAATCGATATGATAAATATATATTAAAGATAATTTTGTTTTCACATACCAAGGCTTCATTTGCTAATTTAATTTCTTCTTGATAATGCAAAAGTCTTTGTTCCATTTCAGCCCTATCCCTTTCAGCAGCTTCTCTTAATTGTTTTTCTCTAGCTAATTTATTTCTTTCTATTTGCCTCCTTTGTTTTTCTTCTTTCGCTTGAGCTTTCATCTGTTGAAGTTCCATAGAATCCGGTTTTCTTCTTCTCATAAACAAATCATGATTTCCTATACATAAATCTAAAATCTAAAAATATAAAAAAATTGAAATGAAATTTTCAAAATTTTTTTTTGTGGTTTTGCAATATATAAAATTGTATGAGACTTACCAATTTGTTCATTCTAACTTTTTTTGAAAAAAAAACAAAATTGGGAGATAATTTATCGACAGTTTTTAAAATAAATTTTTTATTCTCAAAAGATATATCTCTTATTTCAGCCCAAGTAAATGTTATTGTCGGTGCTAATTTATTTTCTCTTTCATATACATTTAATCCTAAAGCTGTTACTCCGAGCCACAGTTCAGATTGCCTCTTATTCTGTAATAAAAAAAAAAAAAAAAACTCTCATGTGCAAGTAAGAAACAAACATGACTTGTTACACCAAATTGTAATGATACTAACAGTTATGGGAAAATAATTAACGCCATACATGTCTAAATCTTGAGCAATTTTTAAATATTCCATTTCAGCTTCGTCTCTTGACATTCCTCTGTGATCTGCATACCAAATCTTAATTCTATCTTCCCACATCTCGGGAGTCATTTGATATTGCCCGATAACTCTTTGAGGTAAAAGAACTTCACTAGATAGCATTTCAGGTTTGTAAGTTGATTCATCATAATCACCATACTGTATGAAATTACAAGTGTACATATAATTGCATTTTTAAAATTTTTAAAATAAAATTTTTTTTGAGAAAATACCTTAGCTTGAACTGCATAACTAGCTAGTAAAACACTGGCTTCAGGAGGGCAATATATATCCATAGACAATATAGCTTGTTTCACTTGCAAAAAAAATAAATGTTGAGTTACTTCCTGGACTAGTTCATCTGCCACATCTTCAGCATAAAATTTAGCTAAAAGCATAAACGTCTGTGCTGCACCTGACTGAGCAATATTTTGATCCTGAACTGAAACCCATAGTTACATATAAACTAATTTTTTGAAAAGGCTTTTTAACACAGAGAATATTATAACAGAATATACTTCATCTTACCCTTTTTATCTAATTTTAACCATGAAATAAATCCTTTAGTATCTTCATACTGTAATCCAAAATACCATGTTTCTCTTAGTCCTATTGTCAAACAAACTAAATCAAATAACTCCCTTCCTGTAGCTTTCCACTAAAATTATATAATAATAATAATAGTAATAATAAGGAAAATTGATGTTAAATAATAAGTTATGAAATTTTATTACAAAATAATTTTTGTTTTTTTTTTACAATTACCTTGAAATGATTTGTTTTTTAAATCAAAATATTTATTAAATATTATTGGTATGAGTTTCTCACGGATAATTGTAATATTGCAAAACAAAAATCACACAAATAAATAATAATAAATAATTGTGCAATTAAATACATTTTTTTAGTATTTTAATTGAACTTAACAAGAAACAATTTTTTTTTTTTTTTTTAATGTAAAATTATAAACAATAATGTTAAATGATACACGGTTACATATTTTTCATTAAAAACCCATGAAAATTTTTAACATTTTAATTAATAATTAAAAATTGATGAAATCTTATCGGAGGGTAATTAATAAGAAAAATAATGACATAATAAAAAAAAAAAAAATGCCTACCTCTAAATTAAATTCCAGTTCGGCGTCCAGAGTGCAAACTTTTACGGGAAAAGATTTTCCTGACTTTTTTCGTCTGAAAGGCGGCATATCAATCATTTTTGCAAAAAAAACATTTTTATTAACTTAATCCGAAATACACATTATAACAAATAATAAAATTTAACTTAAACTTCAACATAAAATCGGTTTTATACATAATAAATTGATAATATTTATAAATAAAAACGCCATATTGACACACACTGAAGGAAAGCAGTTAGACCGGGCCAAATAAAGATAAAAGTTTCAAAGGAAGTTTCAAAACATTTTTAATAAGTTTTGACATTTGTTGCAATTGTATGCAATTTCATTTTTTCTTTGTTAAAGTACAGTGATAATCTAAAATTTACAAAAACGAACCCTTTTAAATTGTTAACATTTAAACAGATAATCTTATTACCATCATTATTTGCCCATCTAACAATCTTTTCAATAAAAAAAAATTCACTTTAAAAAACTAATGTAAAAACAAATCCTTAAAACTGTAAAATTTTGAATTTTCACAATTTGGATTTCGTTTAAATTTTCCTAAGGTAAATAATTGTCTAAGAATTCTCTAAATTCAATCTAAATTGGACTCATTTTCTTTTCTATTAGCTTCATCATTTATAAGTTTGATATATTTTGCAAAAACTTAAAAAAAACTTCATAACGGTCACATGCATCCTTTATCATTTTCAAACTCCAAAAAAAAAAAATGCAATTTTAGAAAAATCATTCCATGAAACTAATTTAAAAAAAAAAAACTAAAGGACAGGATAAAATAAAAAAGCAATACAAAGTACTGTTAGTGTTTTATTAATCAAACAGAAGAAAATAAAAATCAATTCAATAAATATTAAAAATTAAATTAATTTCAGACAAAATTTTTTTTTTTTTTAAATTCAATTAAGGCAAATTAAAGTATTTTTTTTGTTTTTTTTTTTTTCAGAAAACATTTTTTGTTACCTTCTATGAATAATAAAGTTGGTTAAACTTAAAATTAATATTAATGCTTTACATGAGTTTATTAAAAAAAAAAAAAAAAAAAAATGAATATTCGGTTTGCATTTCAATGTGGCAAAAATTTCCGATTATTTTTTTTATATGAAAAATTAAAAAATAGTTTTCTTTTACGATTTACTCGATTATTGTGCCTTTAGAGATGTAAGACCGGCTCTCATGATTTCATCAACCAATAACAAATTGCTTGCAATTACAGAGCTGAAAATAAAAACATACAAAATGGTAATTTCAATTATTATTATTATTATTTTCATTTTTTTTTTTTTTTAAATTGAAAATTCATACCATGAATTAATCATTTGTTTTTTAACTACATAATTATCATATATTCCTCTATCGGCTGGCATTAATGGTTCCCCTGTTTCCAAATCTAAACCTACAACTGCTCCATTGTAGGCTGCTGCGGTCAATTTGACCATGCTATCCTGAGAATCAAATCCACTATTGATGGCTAAAAAAAAAAAAATTCAAAATTTTTTTTAAAATCGTTCATCTCTTAAAAAATTTAAACTCCAAGGAATTAAGATAGTGTAATACTTACCCAAAGTTTTAGGAATGATTAATAATGCCTCGGCAAAAGCCTGAATACCTAGTCTTGTTTTTCCCTTAACTGTGTCCTTGTAGGCCAATAATTTTTTATTGACGGCAACTTCAAAAGCTCCAGCTCCCGGAACCAACGCTTTGTCATCGATCGCGTTTTTGATTGCACGAGTACCATCTCTGATGGCGTCCTTGATTTGAATTAAAGAATGCTTGTCTGGACCCTTGACAACAATGGTAACACTCTTTGGAACTTTGCATTCTTCGACAAAAGTATATTTGGTTTCACCCTAAATATAAAAAATTATTGTTTTATATTTAATTTTTGATGATTCATTGAATATGGCGATTTATTTGACGTTTTGCCGTTCTTACCAAAACATGTTCGTAAACGAGACCGGCCCAACCTAAATGTTCTTCTCCAACTTCGTCTAAACTGTTTAAGGCAACACCACCACAAGCAAGAGCAAGACGCTCCATGTTTCTCCTTTTAGCTCTACGTAAAGCAATAATACCTTCTTTTGCTAATAAATCTAATGACATTGGATCAATGCCCTAAACATGGATTTAAGTTTTAATTATTATTATTATTTTTTAAATAAACTCAACTGAACAAAGAGAAAAATATAAATCAATTTTACCTTTTGATTAATAACGACAAACTTTTTATCCGTTCCATCACATAATTTCTTTTTTAATTCGACAACTTTTTTAACTCTAGCTTCGATAAAGCTTCTCTCAGCTAATACTAATTTTTCCCTCTCTTCAGCAGTTTTGTAAAAAAAACCAGAATTTACTTCACTGTAATCAAAAGACATCATAGAATTTTAAAAACATACTAAAAAAAAAAAAATAACTAATTTTATTTCAAACCTGAACTCACCTTTTTTCATATTCCATACTAACATTACAAGTTAATATGTAGGCATTTTCAACTCTTTTAGGCATATCAGGATGTCTTGAACCATGATCTAGAACAAGACCTTTAACAAGGCTTGTTTCTGTAGCTGTTTTATGTTGCATATCAATTATCTCAATCATATTTAAATCGATATCTTGCCCAGGAGTGTAAATTGATAAAACTGCATCGACACAAACCTAAAAAAATGTATTTGAAATTATTAAAAAATTTGAAAAGCTGATCAATTCTCAAGAAAAAAATTTTTTTTTTAAACTCCACCTCAGTCAACAAATCTGCAAGTGAATGATGTAATTTTGTTTTTAATGCAGTTCCTGCTACATGCATTAAACTTTCCTTTTCAACTTCGATTGGAATTTTTAACTCATCTAAATATTCTAATGTTTTGGCTCTGGCTTGATCGAAACCTTCGGTTAAAACTCTGGGATGTAAACCCTGATAGAAAATTCATGGAATAATTAATAATGGAGACATTTTTCAAATTACTTTTATCTAAAATTTTCAATAACTGACCTCAGAAATGTACAAATCTGCTTGTTTTAATAGTTCACCAATTACTAATACTGTTGAAGTGGTACCATCACCTGTCATATCATCCATTGCTGTGGAGGCTCTTGCAATAAGACAAGCTGTAGGATGCTGGATTTGCTGTAATTTGATAAATTAAAAATTTTTTTTTTTTTAAATAATAATAATACTACAAGATCTTAACTATAAGGGGACCTATACCTCAGTAAAAATTTATTTTAACTTAATTTAAAAATTTTTTGAGATTAGCCAAATTCTTACCATTTCATGTAACAAGACATTTCCATCTTTTGTAATTTTAATGTCTCCAGCTCCTGAGACCAACCTAAGAAAAAAAATCAAAATTAATAAACCAAAAAAAAAAAAAAAACTTATTATAAGTTATGAAAGTGATTTCATTATATTCGTGGGTGAGTCAGACAATAAAACTGCAACATGCGATTTTTTGAAACATGATTATCAAATATTAGGAAAGATACGTCAAATAATAATAACAATTTATAAACTTATGGGCAATAAATTATAACTTAAAAGCTCGTGATTTCATAGAAATTCAAAATTTCAACGATATTTAATATATAAAAAGCACATGGTATTCCCGATAAAAGAGTAACCGGTTAACACCTAATAATTGGCAATTAAAAATAAATAAACTTACATTTTTAATGTTCCCTTTGGACCAAGATTTGTTCTCATTACATCTTGAATACCTTTTGCAGCAGATATATTTACGGCTAGGGCTTGTGCAGCTCTAGCAAATTCGGCTTTAGGATTAAGCAAGCTAATAGCAGCCATTTTTCAATAAACTTAAAAAATTTATGGCCGACTTTCCTGTGATTGTTTGTAAATTATAAAAAAGTTTTCAAACAATTTTAAAACAAATTTTTTTTTTTTACAACGAAATACGTTATTTTCCTTTGAGAATTTAGAATTTACGTTCAAATGCACGCTAAGTAGTTGTTAAGTAAAAAGTTAAAATTTCCTCTATTTTTACATATCTTAAAATTAATAAAAATGTCCGATACGGAAAAGGTAAATCCAGTCAATTTTACTTATTAAGCTTTATGT